TTTTTTTTTTTTTTTTTTTTTTTTAATGGGAAAGGCAAGTTGGAACCTTACCTAACACGGCGTATTCCTGCAGTAATGTATCATTTACTCCCTTTTATGCTTTTAAGACCAGAAAGTGGTGGACGACAGAGCGCTGTTAAGACAAATATTTTAATAATTAAAATAGCAAGTCTCTTTACAAGTGTCTTGATGTTTGGAGTAGGGTGTAAATACATACTCCGGAGCTAAATTCCACTTGAAAATGATGACTGGAATATTCTGTGAAAATGAAATGAAGATTGGATCGCTGCATCTTGGCTTTGTGGGAAGAGCTGAGGAGACACAAGGCAAACATCTGACCTTAGGGACTGAGCAGCCTGGGGCAGTCAGTAAAGCAATTTAATGGACTGGAGCCTTGAAGATCAAGGGCAGGTTAAGGGAGCCTGTAAACTTCCCATAATTTAAAGATATGAGGATCCTGAGAGTGAAGTCCTTTTGTATCACCAATTTTTCTCCTCTCTCCTCCTCCTCCCTTCTGCCCCAAGGTTCCCTATTTCTATAGCCAGACTTTTTGTTTGCTCTTCTTTGCCCCTCTTTCCATTCCTGATACCCAGCTCAAGCTGTAAATGGGCCCTTCTTTAAAATAAATTTTATATCCCGTGTTATTCTTGGTTTTCCTTTTCCTCCTCTTTCTTTCATGCCCCCTTTACTCTTTTTCTTTCTCTTCTTTTCCTTTATGTTACCTTGCTGTCTTTTCCTGTTGAGTGTCGCTTTTGCCCTTTTCCTATAATTTTGTCCTACTTCCTGTTTGTGCCTCTTCTTTTTCCTTTGCCCTTTCACCTGGCAACACTTCGTGCTTACCCATACCCTTGAAACTTGAGTCCTACTCCCTTTCTTTTCAAGCGTTTTGCCTGCTTGATATCGGGTGGAATTCACTGCCCCTTTGCTAGAAGGACGGCAGAAGGATAGCTCACCTGGCATTCAGGGTCAGAGTATCAGACTCCACTGTCAAGAGCTTTGCATGCACTACCTTACTGCTCCTTTCCACAATCCTGTGAGGCAAATACTATTATTATCTGCATTCTACAGTTGAGAAAATGCTTACATAGTGAGGTTACAAGATGTGTCAAAGATCTCAGAGCCAGGATTTGAGCCCAGGCAGTGTGCACTAGAGTCTGTGCCCTTTGCTGTTAACCGTTGATGTGAATGTGTGGGTGAGGTCTACATATTAATTCACTGCTTCTGAGGTGCTTCTCTCTTTAACAGAGTGAGTGCACACATTTGCTGTGAATACTTTAGAAAGAGAGATGAAAGAGATGTAGTGGGCGTTGATGGCAGAGAATGGAAAAAGTATAACTGAGGAAGGACCCCAGGCCTTTGCCACGTCAGTGAGCCACTCATTTGGCATCGGGCTCCATATTTATTGTTTTAAATCCAAATATCCGAATTAACTGTTATAATTTTATACGGATATGCAGATGGAAGTCGACTTTAGAAAAAGCTGATGGTGCCAGACTTCACAGTCTCCACTGAAGAAACCAAGCCCAACTGTAATGTGAAGGTTTATTAAAGAAGAAAAGTTCACCTGTGGTGAGCTCGGAACAGGAAAAACTTTCCTTGTCTGACAAAGGAAAAGGAACCAGTCTCCCTCATTGGATACATTTAAAAATAGATGGAGTCTTATCTTTTCAGGAAGGCTTTGTGCCATCCTGCTGAAAGACATAAAGATACAAAATGCACACAAAGACCCTTTTAAACTTAAAATTAAATAATTTTGTGATGCTTCGCTTCCAATTAAAGATATCCATCTTACTCCTTTTCAGAGGTAAGGGGAAGCTACTTCCTTTGCTTTTCTTTGGTTACGTAGGGGCATGACTACTAGAGAGTAATGGAAGGGAATATTTAGCCCAGTTTTTCCCCTCCACCCAAGATTTCTAAGCTCCGCACTCGTTCTGTTCATCTGTTGCTTTGGAAGGTCTTGTCCTGCTTGCTTGCAATGTCTCGATTTCAAACAGAAAGGACTCTTATCAGAGAGTTACAGTTCCATTAGGAATAGAGCTTTCCTGGCTCATTAAAACTCTACAAGTCCCCCGCACACGGAAAGGTGACGTGTGAGTATTTGAGAGTCTAGGTCTGATCCAAACCAGTTGCATCCCTGGTGACCTTAAAGGGCCCAGCTCTGCCCAGCGTGTTGAGCCTCCTGCCTGTGATGCCATGAAAAGAGCCCATCAAGTGGGTAGATGCCTTTATTCTGTGCCTGGGATCAAATGCAGGGCCTTGAGAATGCTCTGCCACCACACCATACCCCTAGTCCCAGATGCCTTTCTTAATCACCTCTGATCTGGACCTCTAATGTAGAATTTATGCCATTCTTTATCACTTTACATCCGACAGGGGATGTAGCCTATTAAGCAGAGTCCATAAAAAATCTAGAGCAGTTTTGGATTGATGCTAAAATCAAAGCCTGGGGTGAGGTGGTAGGAATTCCTTCTCTTGGCAAGCAGTGTCCCTCAGGGGACAGGGTTGATTCTGGAGGCACACCACAGCAGGAAAGGCACCTCCGAGAAAGAACGTAGGAGAGAGGGAAACCCCACTGCTACTCACCAGAGGCCAAATAGGACTTTAGAATATGGATGATGTTATTTGCTGAAGGTACTGGATGTAAAGTCCCAAAATAGAAGGTTAGGTTTCCCAGTTGCATAGCCAGCACATTGGTAGCAGCAGCCCAAGTGTCCCCTTTCAGTTTGCAGGATAACTGAAATCTCCCTATAGATTACCATTTAATGTGTCTTTGTGGTTGCAAACACACACGTGAATCCCATTTTATATTTACGTATCACTACTCGAGACCCTCATACACTTATGAATCTTTGCGTAGCACCAAGGAGCGGATAATATTAAGTATCGGAAATAAATTGTGTGCCTGCCGCGGTCATTGCCGTTTTGCATGTATGTGATGACTGCAAACACTCATGCAGCCTAGTCTGAATTTAATGTGCACTCAGTGCTCTCATAGTCTTTAATTTACAGGAGACAAACTGGGAGAGCGAGGCCTGGGAGCACTACAGGGGATCCCTTTGTCCCTAATCTGCCTGGTCTTTTCAGGGTCTGTGGGCTCATCACACTGGTGCTGGTCCGTAATGACCCCAGGAAAGTAGAGTGAAAAGATGATGTACCCATAAGCATCGCACAAATCACTCCTGTGCTCCCTCTCTCTCTCTCTCTCTCTCTCTTTTTTTCTCTCTCTCTCTCTCTTTACCAGGAATTGAACTTGGGTCCTTTTGCTCATGAGGCAGGTGGGGGAACCACTGAGCTAAATCTCTGGCCTGCTTTTGCTCTTTTTCTGCATTCTCCTGGGCTAGCTGGCTTGCAGGCTGCAGGAAAAAGGGACCTTTTAACCTCCTTGCTTTCTTTGATACTGCTGATGAGCACTCTTGGAAAAAGCTTCAAAGAGAAACATGTTAAACAAGTGAAATACACTCAGATAAGAATAAGATGTGCTAAACCGCCGCTTCTCTGTCCACTC